GAAAGGAAATCATTGGGGACCGTATAAGGTAATAACTGGAAATGAGGACTGAGAAAACGAACGCAACATGGTAAGTCCTCTAGAAGAGTCATTGCCTTTTATGTCTTGTCTCTTTTAGTGTAACAGCTAAGCGGCTGCTGATATTTCATTCCGAAACAAAAAACGTACACTTTAAACTAGTGGCATGACCTGTTTGATTTATCTTACCACATTAAATTGTTTCTGTGACTTATCTTTCGCTCGTTCTCTCGTAAGACGAAAATATTCTGTGTTAGAAGGTTAAGAAAAAGTTATCAAATGCTTATAATGCAATTAATACATAGTTGAAAACGAGCTCCACAATAATGGCAATAATAATCCCTCGAGAAAGGGAACGAATGGGACACAGGACAAACACAAAACCCCAAACACAGCAAGGTGACTGGTGCGCGACCGAAAAAATCCGCCTGGTCCTGGCATCGAACCAGGGACATCTCCATATACAGTGGAGCGCTCTACAAACTCAGCTAACCAGGAGTTAGACGTCAGTAGAGCAAACGGGTTTTATCAGCTGCCACCAGTCCAACACCAACAAGGATGAACGACGTGCATTTTGAGCTGATGATTATAGTGCAATCAATGCTAAGGTGCAAGAGATCTGGACAATAATAATCTCTGGAGGAGGGAAACGAAGGGGACAAAGGAAAAACACAAAACTTCGAACAGAGAGCGCTCCACTGAAAATGGAGAGTTCTATGGTTTGATACCAGGGCCAGGCGGATTATTTCGGTTGCGCACCACTCACTTTGATGTGATTAGCTTTGTGTTTGTCTTTTGTTTCATTCGTTCCCACTCTCCAGGGATTGTTATTGCCATTATTAAATGCCTAGGTTTACTTTCTTAGGTGAAGCTTGATACTCTTGGCCACTAGCTCACGCTGACGTTTTTACTTTAAGTACAAAATAAAAGCAGATTTATTGATGATGTATGTTATGTTCATCGTATGCTACTTGTTATAAGAAGCTTAAATTATTCGCATCCGTCAATTTCTACAGTTTCTAGTCAGCGGAGTTTTTGCCAACTTCTTTATCTCCGTATTTTCTCACTAAATGTTCAGCTGTCCATATTAACGAGTATTAAAAACTAGCTGAATAAATACGAGTAATTTTTATAAGACACTGACACGTTAGGCAATACCCTAAAATTATGACACTGTTTTTGGGCCGCTGTGTCGTCTTTATTCATCAAATATTGCTGTGACGCTGTGACACCGGTGAGTGCGCAAGATATGTTTACTCAGTAGAATTTTTCAATAAACCTTTTAGTTGCAAGTTAGAGCTCGTCCTATGTTCTACACTTCTTCCGTGTCCCGTATCTTTTACGCAACACTTTTACAATGTATGTTAACAACCAACCAGCCCGTCAATCAACTATTTCACGTGACATTTGTAACAACAAAATTTCTTATTCCCCCTTGATACATTATGTTGCCCCAAAGAGAAAACAATCATTTTGCTTTCTGAATGTAATGGTTATATGTAGGGAATAACAAAAATAGACGCCTTCATTTGCAATCCAGTCAAACTGCAGTTGACAAACCACGAAGCAAATCACGAATTAGTCAACTGCACGTAGCTGGCTTCCCGCGCGTATTAGTTTAGTGTTAGCTGTAGGAATGGTTTTTACCTGTTTTTACCACGCATATTTAATGACCAGGGACAGAGAACGTTTGTTTAATTTGTTTTAATGTTTTAAAGTTTCAACGTTTTAGAGCATTGTGTTCCCAATAAAAATATATTAACGGGTTCAACAGACATGAGAACAAGGTTTCACATGAACTTAGATACCGATTGGATGCGCCCTATATAAGTTGTGAAATGTGATAGGTTTATTGAAGAAATAACTGTATTTTTTTTCTAATAATATTAGTAATAATATTAATAGTCGACCTTATTTTCCCTCAAGCGGTGTGAGTGGACAGGAGAAAAAGTTCCACGAAGCAGTTTGACGAGGCTCGCGTTCCCCTCCCTTGTCATTACAGGCGCCACTGCAGAAACACACAACGAACTATACAGAGACACAAATACTAAGGGTAAAAAAAAGCACAATAAATACTATAGTAAAGTGGTTAGTTGGGCGAGTTGGTAATGATTGAACATGGTTAAAATTGTGCAGAAATAAAAAGGTACAGAGAAGAGGGAAGACAGAAGAGACAAGCACAAACTCACAACTCGATGTATTGAAGGAAGAAAAAGGAACAGCCCTCGGTATCAGCTCGAGCCGAGGCCACACTCGCACGGGGGCACCCGAGCACGCGGAGGACACACACCATCAACCACACTCAAACGACTGTAGAAAGGCTATTTCCTTGTCGGTTAAAGCCACAGAAGGGCGGCTGACACAACGCTCGCCTAAGCGGAGTATACTAAAAGCTTCAAAAATTGCGCGAGTGGGTTTTTCGGTGAATCTGCCAATCATCGAGGTCTTTTGTAAAGAAGGTGTACACTTACACGCTTGACAATGCAGAGGTAGGTGACCCCCCACTGTTGAATTTAGAGAAAGATTGTGCTCCCTTAACCGGTCATTAATGCACCGTCCCGTCTGTCCTACGTAGGATCTGCCACAGGAAAGGGGAATGCTATAAACCACTCTGGTTGAACAGGGCACGAAAGGGCGGACGTGTTTTGTGCGGCACCTGTGTTATGTAATATTTTCTATTTTTGCTCGAACTTTAGAACAAATTTGACCCATTTTTTGGGGTGCTGACATCACTAAGGGGACTCCGTACCTATTGGCTACCTGTTTGAGATTGTGAGATATTCTGTGTATATACGGAACCACCACCACACTTTTTTTGTCGATATCACGTGCAGCTTTTTTGCATCCTTTTACTTTTTTTATCAGAGTTCCTACCACTTCAGTTAGCGCCTGCGCTGGAAAGCTAGACGCTGTAAGTCTCTTAATTTGCGCATTAAAACTGCTTTTGATGGTGTGGAGGCATGACTTCTTTAGGGCTGAAGTAAGGCAGGAAAGAGCTATGCCTCTCTTTACGACTTTTGAGTGCGAGGACGTATAGTGCAGTAAACCTTTTTTAGAACGGGGTGAAAATGACCAGCACAGGTGGTTTGTTTGCAAAGATAGGGAAAGGTCTAGAAATTGCAACACACCTTCCTTAGGAGTTTCACATGTAAAAATAAGTCCTGAACCGCACTTGTGGAATATGTCCATGATGCTACAAAGTACATTATTGTCCAATGTCTTTTGGTACACTAGCAGAAAATCGTCTACATACCTAAGCACGTGAAGAACTGGCATAGACGCTATGGCCGTCTTAATGGCGCGGTCGACCCCCGCAAGAAAAATATCACTTAGGACCGGTGCAACGCAAGAGCCTATACAGACTCCCGATTTTTGCAAAAATACCCCGTTTTGCCAACCAATGAATGTCGAATTAAGATAGAAATGTAGCACCTCAAGAAAACTTTCTATAGGTACACCACTTGAGTTTCGGAACGAGAGCTCACCGTGGGACTCAATACAGGACTTAACAGAGGCAAGTAGATGTTCGTGGGGAAGCGAGTAAAAAAGATCTTGAACGTCCACGCTGAAAACACTGTGATTGGACAGTTCATTTGACCTTAGTACTTCAACGACGGCTTCCGAATTGCAGACTCTAAAGGGATCCGTAATCTTAACACCCGAAAGGTGCTTTTGAAGATAGGCCGACATCTGCCGTTGCCACGACCCTCTTTCGGTGACAATTGCTCGGAAAGGGCAGGCTTCCTTGTGTGTTTTGGCACTAAAGAAGACTTCAAGGTGTAGCCCTTCAGCTTTGTTGATGTTGCTTGCTAACTGGTTCAACGTGAAACGTTGACAAAGGGAGAGTGCCTGGCTCTTGGCAATAGGTACGGAGTCCCCTTAGTGATGTCAGCACCCCAAAAAATGGGTCAAATTTGTTCTAAAGTTCGAGCAAAAATAGAAAATATTACAAAACACAGGTGCCGCACAAAACACGTCCGCCCATTCGTGCCCCGTTCAACCAGAGTGGTTTATAGCATTCCACTTTCCTGTGGAAGATCCTACATAGGACAGACGGGACGGTGTATTAATGACCGGTTAAGGGAGCACAATCTTTCTCTAAATTCAACAGCGGGGGGTCACCTACCTCTGCATTGTCAAGCGTGTAAGTGTACACCTTCTTTACAAAAGACCTCGATGATTGGCAGATTCACCGAAAAACACACTCGCGAAATTTTTGAAGCTTTTAGTATACTCCGCTTAGGCGAGCGTGGTGTCAGCCATCCTTCTGTGGCTTTAACCGACAAGGAAATAGCCTTTCTCCAGTCGTTTGAGTGTGGTTGATGGTGTGTGTCCTCCGCGTGCTCGGGTGCCCCCGTGCGAGTGTGGCCTCGGCTCGAGCTGATACCGAGGGCTGTTCCTTTTTCTTCCTTCAATACATCGACTTGTGAGTTTGCGCTTGTCTCTTCTCTCTTCCCTCTTCTCTGTACCTTTCTATTTGTGCGCAATTTTAACCATGTTCACAATAAATACATATAAAAACAAGCGCTTACAAGAGGAAAATTTCAACAACAAAAAATAACACATAAAAAATAAGCTTCCGCAAGATTAGAAAGATTCAGCAGAAATGAAATAGGCCATCAAGAACTTGTTTGCGGACATCGCCGGAAGGATATTAATATGAAACAGTTTATTTAAAAGTATGGGCAAGTTATACAAAATTAAATGATCTTCGTAAGTTGTTCGGGACCTGGTTATGTTACAGGTATTTTGATAACGGATATTATAAGAAAAAAAAACGTGGGTATTCAAACTAAACTTTGACAATAAATCTATATTTTTTGCTCTAACTGCTGTTCAGCAAAAGCAGGCTATACGAAAATCGTACAGGCACTCGTAAGACAAAATTATCACGAGTTGAAACTACTTGGTACCTTTGTGAATGTACTTTTCTTTTTATATATTTTTGGTTCGCAAGCATTTTGATTTAATTTATCTACAGGATGTCTCTTATCCTGGCTTTGCAAACGGTCGGATTCTCCGAGCCAAGTCAAGTTCCTCCAAATATAGTGTTCATCCTGGCGGATGATCTGGTTTGTAAATTTTCAGTAATTCTTTTTTTCGGATATCTTTTTTTTTTCACTTCAGATGCTCTCAAAATAACACGCAAAGAATTTAAGAGCAGGCGCAATACAAGAGCTTATATTTAAAAAAGAAAGTTTTCCCATTTAAGCTGATGTTTGCACTTATTCTTTGTGTACTGTGATGGGTGCTTTTTTTCTGACGTATTTCTACAGCGTCACTGTGTGCGTTTTTGTTGCGCACTGAAAAAAAAAACAAAAAAACAGGCCCCTTAGCTTCTGAACAGTACCTTAGTTTAATCTCCTTCTATACAAACATTCCCAATGTACCAGTTTGTTACGAGGGAACACTTCAGTTTGGTCAGCTCGGCACCCTTACTCTACACTGATCTCCGTCATTCAGAAATATTAAATCAATCAGTGACAAATCAAAACGATATTTACGTGACTCCTGACACCCAGTGTTACCAACTGTAGGAACATGTCCCAAAATGTTAAGACTTTTTTTTAGTTTTTTTGTGTTTTTTTTTTGTTTTTTTTTTTTTTTTGTTTTTTTTGTCCAGTAGCGGTGGGGAGGCCTTATGTTTCACTGGAAAACAAAAAAATTTCAAATTTCTTATAGTAATGTTCTTTAATTTGCAGAAATTATTTTTAGAACGAATTAATGCGTTTTCTGAATTGCAACCTTGCTATACCTTGTTCAACCCTTAGCTGACAAGTGCAGTGGGCCTTTACGCTCGTCTGCCCAACCGTTGGAACGTGATCACGTGGCAAAAGATAGATGTGTGATCAGTTCAACGATGACATGGCTTCTACCACACTCTCGACGTTATTTTTTTTTAATTCATTGGCGCCACAGCTTTGCCTACGTCAAGTTCCACCCATGGCGGCTGATGAGGTGTCAGATGACAACATGCTTCTTAGTCCTGCATCGGAATGATGCCCTCATGTGTATTATCCTGTATTCCATTTTAACTCTACTTGCGTTCGAACATTGCTTTAGGCGTTATGAGGCGTGGAAACAAAACGCAGGTCGGTATTATTTTAAAGCATCTCTATCAATACTGTGAACTCATTAGGAAGTTTTTGCATAGCGTTACCGCAGGCTACCATGGGGTCGTACGGCTCCTGGCGTGCCGCGATCAGTGCTTCTAAGCACTAGTCTCTATGACGATTTGCGGAATCACTAAGCATTTGTAGCAGATCGTTTTTCTCCTCCGCTACGGTATCCGGGAAGAAAACGTCGCAGCTGCGCATGCGCACCGCCAGCCATGTCTGCATAGTTCAAGGTCTTCTGGCGGATTACGGAGCGCTATCCGGGTGCTTAGCGGGCTCCGGAAACGGTCTACTACAATTGCCTATTGATTCCCGCTTTGAGACCACTGCGCGATTCCGGCCACCGGTCAGCCATGTTACGTCACCTACAGGAGGCGTTGTCAAGCCTGAAGAGCTACCACCTGTCGAGCACATTTTATGCTCAATCACTATCGTTTGTCGAAGTAGTTTCATGAAACTTTATGTAAACTGCCGACCAATTACAGGTACGTTCATTCGACCAAGCTCGATGAAATGCGGTAGTTTTACAGAGCATCGTGAGTGAAAAAAAAAATAGTAACGGAAACGGTATGGTGATGAAATGGTTGTAATATGGCGTGCACAGATCGACGCCGACGTCGAAAACGAACTTCAGGACGACCTGTAGGACGACCTCAAGGGCGACGTCGAGGAGGACGTCGAGGACGGTGTCTAGAACGACGTCGATGACGAACTCAAGGACAACCTCAAAAACGACTTTAAAGGGCCCCTAAACAAAAAACAAAAAAAGTTTTTTTTATTTTTTTTTTTTAGCAGTCTGGTTGAGACACGCGTGTCGAAAAATCAATTTTATGCGAAGAAAACCTTTTGGAACAATATTGACGATACGTGATTGATTTCAAAATTTTCCGCGCAAAGTCCATGACGTCACGAAATGGTCCTACACTCTTTCCACCTCAACGGGATGGCAAAGCCGATCCACCTCTTCTCTAAGCGCCCGAAATGACGAGCGAGAAAAGTGGAAAGGAGGCCACTACCGTTTAAATCGCCGTCTCGCGCCGGTAATATTACTCTAAAAAGTTGTTTTTTTTCGAGAAAATTATTTTTTTGACACGCGTGTCCCAACCAGATTGTTTGAAAAAAAAAAATTTTTTTTTCAGGGGCCTTCAAAGTCGCCGTTTAGGACGGCGTCTAGGACGACGTCGAGGATAACGTCCTAGAGGACGACATGAGGAATGACGTCTAGGACGAGTTCAAGGAAAACGTCAAAGACGACCTATAAGATGATCTCAAGGACGACCTCTAGGACGAGTTTAATGACGTCATAAAGGCGATGTCTAGGACAACCTTTACGACGATATCGTGGACAACGTTAACAGGTCACGTCAGCTTCAGCCTCCGGCGCCTACGAGCTTACGCGACTGGCGCTTACGTGACGTCAATTACGCCACCTTGCACTTCAGCCACGGGCATTACATGACCTTGTTACGCGCCTTTGCAATTAAACCACGGGCGGTAAGTTACCTTGAGGACACGACCTTGAGCGTGGTTGGGCTTAAAAAGCACACTGGCTATGCGTGCTGTCGACTCAATCCATATATTTTTTTTTTCGAGCTTAGGTGCTGAGGTTTTCTGAAACTTTCTCAGGATCCCGGAGCGTTATTGTTTGAGAGTTTACATGAAGTTTCACGAAACAGCTTCGACAAAGATGGGGATTGAGCACAAAGTGTGCTCTACAGATAATAGCTTTCCAGGCTTGATAGCGCACCGTGTACGTGGTGTAAGATGGCCGGCCGGTGGTCGGATTTGCGGAGGGGCGATAGCGATCCAGCAAACCGTCAGAGAGATCAGTGCGGCCTATAAACACGGCCTATAAACGCGGCCCATAAACCACGTGACCCCTATCGAGCAGTTGTAAACTCTCTGTAATACAGGCTCTCTGGCAGAACAGCTGTGATGCACCCCCCCCCCCCCCCCCCCTTCTCGGCAGGAATGCAAGCCAGCACGGTCTCTAGGTTGGCACTGTGGTAGTTGCGTGTAACGGGGACGTAAGCATAAAGGAGGTCGTGGTCTGCAAACCGTTATGGTGTAGCCAATGTGGGACCACCATACAAGGAAGGAACATACCTCAGAGAGTGTCTGCAGACTCTATTTTGTAAGACACATTAGAGTCTGAGAGCGTCTTGAACATTGCCTTGAACAAGGTTCTCTTCTACGCACCTCATACACGTATATTATCGCCGCACGAAGTGCCATTCGTTCGCTGAAGACACGGTGGCTGCAGAACGGCAGGCGGCAGAAAGCGGTCTGTCACTGCACCACCACAAAACCTCAAAGCTTTCACCAAGGGCTGCCTTACAATCAGACGCCGTGGCAGCTGCTATTCCCAAAGAGAGTGCGATATCCGTTAATTACTCGTAAAGAGGTTTTATTGTTACAGGCTCGATCATTCGATCATTTTGGGTCTTTGTTGCCTGATGCGAGGTCTCTATTCTACTACAGGGCTGGGCGGACGTCAGCTTTCGCGGAGATCCACAGATACCGACTCCGAACCTGGACGTCCTCGCCTCGCAGGGCATCATCCTCAACAACTACTACGTGCAGTCCCTCTGCACTCCCTCAAGGGGGGCTCTGATGTCGGGCCTATACCCCATTCACACAGGTTTGAGATAGCGTTATCTTGCAACACAACTTTCCAAGAATCACGCGTTATGGTAGAGCCATTTCAAAAGAGCGCTCCATCTAGTGGCTGCTGCGCCGATTATCCTTGTCCGCCATTGTTTGGGCACGCATACTCTGAGCATGTATTGGACACGAGGATTACGTCAGCGTTCGGCGAGGACTCGCAACCAATCACACGCTTCGTGCCCAATTAATGGCGACCGCCAGTGTTACTTGGTGAATTTTTGTAAAGGGTTCATACTTACGTTGAAGCAGTGAGTGCGCAGTATTGATACTTTCAAAGAGCACCTGAAGACAAAGGATTACAGACCGCGTTAAATGCGCTTGCAGAAAGTTCTTTGTAGATGCGTTTGGCATTAACGGTTAATATTTACCCGAACAACTAACGAACTAGCGTACGGTGTTAGGGGTACATTCGGCGCTGGTACGAACACAACACACTAAGGCTCGCTTTACGATGATCTACAATCAAAGCTACGGTAAACCAGGCCTAATCGCACGCCTGTTAGTATAGTTGTGGTGCCACGACGTATATTCTTCGAAGTATGTTTCCGAACGGCGCAATGATACGCTTTTCGGAACAATATATAAGGTGCTAGCGTGCTGGCTCGTGATAAGATCAAACGCCCTGTAGCTTTTTGACTGTAGACCACTGCACGATGGCACCAGACATAGGTGCTTCGTATCCGCACGCTGCTATGTCCTCACTGGATCTGTTTTTGTGAATTTATATCTGCAGCCCCTGTAAAGCTGTGACGTTGCTTCGTCTGCGCAGTTATTAGGATGTTTTAGTGAGTCGTTTTGACGCGAACTGTTTGTTCCCGAACGATTCGAAGACTCCACTCCGCATGCGCGCGGATATTGCGCGGGAACTCCGGAAGGTTTGACTTAATCGTTACGATTTGAGGCACGTGAACTAGTGTGACCGAATAGACTTAAAGTCGTTTAACGTGGTGGATGAAGCAGAAAAAGCTTGGACAGGCGCTGCAACCCCCACTCCTAGGTAGTTCAAATAAGCAGCTCTGGTTTCGTTTACGGCGGCGAGATCATAGACTGACCAAACTCTCCCCATATACGGCCCTGGTCAGTCTATGATCTCGCCGCCGTAACGCTGTCCTCCCGAGTGAGCCAATCACCACGCGGCGTAGAGCGGGAGGCATGAGCGCATGCGCGTGAACTCCCGGCTGCTCCCACCTGAGTGGGGAGGGCCGCCATCTTCGATCATTCTCCCGGCGGAATGCGTGGGATCGGCATCTAAATTCCGAATATTGCCTTTTATATCGCTGGCTCTGGCAAGAAAATGACATTCTGTTATTCCTCGGTTGGTTAAGAAGCTAGTAAATGAAGATTTTTCGGCGTATGGCCACAAACTTTTATTCATGCGAAAAAGAAGTCGGCCCGTAGCAGACGACGCGTAGCCTCAGGAGTGCTCTTCTCCGACCAGTCTCCGACAGCGTTGCTAAAAAATGGCGGTTGTCTCCTCTCTGCTCCCTTCTTTCTCTCTCGCTCCTTCGGCGCTCTCCTCCCTTTCATTTACTTTTCTTCTCTCCGGCGCCTTCGTCGCCACACCCACTGGCCAAACTCTCCCAATATACGGCTCTGGTAAAAACGAAACAACAGCGCCCTCTTTGAATCACCTTGACCGCTTGCCCAAAGTCACCCTGCTCCACCTACCAGGAAGAAGCTAGGGCTTATTGTCTTCCTCGTTCACGCTAGTTGGGAGCCGCAAATCATAACAACTTTGCCGAATCCTTCCCAGGCTCCTTCGGAGACGAATCAATCGATTCAAAATGACTCACTAAATCTCAATTGTCTCGAAGTCCGGGACAATTGTTCGGGGACGAACCTTTCGCGTTAAAACGACTCACTTGAACTCCCTATTACATCGTTTTCCATGTCATCCTATAAATTGACGCGCTGTTTTCAAACAAGGAAGCGTCGGCCGACACCAGATTTGGCGACTGCGCGTGCGCCGAAACCAGTTTCACGAGATGTTTACCGCCTGCGGATGCACCCCACTGATCTCTATGACAATTGCTGGATCGCGCTTCCCCGCTTGTTCGCTGCAGCGCAAGTGAAGCCACCGGACTTCACTCGCTTGGGATACGATTTGCCGTTTTTGCTAGCCTTTGCTGCGGTTTTCCAGCGTTCTGTGGACACGTTTTCTACTCGTTCGTCGTCATTCGCCGAAGAAGTTTTTTGAAGACTCTGTGTATTGTTGAGACTTGCCGTTGTGAACACGTGGAAAATTTTACGAAAGTGCAGTGTCGCAGGAAAAAGGCACAACGCGTCGAAAGGAAGGGCTGGCGGCGTGTTCAAAGCGTCCTTGGCACGCCGAAGTGCCGTGTCTCTGTGCCTTCGCGCGCTTGGATACCGACCAAGAACCGACGCCGTGTGTATGTGTTTAGCGAGTGCAATGTGCGTGAAGCTGTTCGTGCCTCTGGATCAGCGTCTTTTCCCCTCGCGGTTTAGGAACGAGCTTAATCCAGCGTCCACTAGCGACGGAAGACGGGGGGAAGGTACGTCTTTTTTTCGTCCTTAGACGATTTACACAATACCGTGCACAACAGCTCCTCATCACTGATCAGTGCTGGCTTATTATAAACCTACTTAATTGCACTTGACGTTTGAGCGCGGCTCGCCTAATTGTAATTGGTCAACAGATTGCACACGACCATATCGGCCGCGCTTCAAAGATTTTCATTCTCGCCGTCTTGTACTTTTGCTTTCGAAAACCCCCTGGCTCCACAACGTTGCCCTATTCGTGCTCCCACGGAATCTATTAGAGTAGATTTGGGACATAGCCATGGTTAATATAGTACATAAGAACACGTACAGATCTCCCCCTTTTATTGATAGCAACTCACCGGAACAGCTGGACGATCCAGAACTCCGTGGCCGATATATATAAACGATCTAAAGGCATCTACGCGCGACACACGTTCAGAACTTTGGCGCGGCGTCAATTCTTGACCGGTATCCAAGCGTGCGAAGGCACAAAGATGCATCACTCGGCGTGCCAAGGAAGCTTTGATCACGCCGCGACACCGGCGACACGTTTTCGACGAGTTGTACCTTTTGATACGTCTTCACGCACATTGCACTCGCTGAACACATTCACACGGCGTCGGTTCTTGGTCGGTATCCAAGCGCGCGAAGGCACAGAGACACGGCACTTCGGTGTGCCAAGGACTCTTTGAACACGCCGCCAGCCCTTCCTTTCGACGCGTTGTGCCTTTTTCCTGCGACACTGCACTTTCGTAAAATTTTCCACGTGTTCACAACGGCAAGTCTCAACAATACACAGAGTCTTCAAAAAACTTCTTCGGCGAATGACGACGAACGAGTAGAAAACGTGCCTACAGCACGCTGGAAAACCGCAGCAAAGGCTAGCAAAAACGGCAAATCGTATCCCAAGCGAGTGAAGTCCGGTGGCTTCACTTGCGGGAGCGGCAAGCGCGATCCAGCAATTGTCATTGAGATCAGTGATGCACCCTATCGAAAACAGCGCCACACTCTAAGAAAAAATGGAGGAAAAAAGCCCAGCAACGGCGCGTCTTCCTCCCTTCTACTGACGCGCCCCCACGCGGACACGAGGAAAGGGGAGGAACGAAACGTTTTTCTCCATCTCCAGGCAGACGAGAGAAAGCTTCTGCCGTCCCGACTCATCTATAGGTTTCGTTTTTCGAGGAGGTTGCGCACGTTGTTTAATAAATAGCTGTTGAGTTGATTGAGCTTCAGCGGCAGCGAAGGCCGACTGTAATTCCGTCTTCTAGTCTAAACGTGCAGAACATTTCGGTTGCATTGACGTTTTTATCACTAATTTTATCAGACGAGCAAACGAAGCCGCTAGAAACAGCGAAGTTCCGGAGCAGTGCCAGCAGCGCCACGTACACTGGGTAGGATGTCCGTCTCCGGATTGCGGGACTCACGCGGCACGGAACTACAGTAGCGAAACCACGCGGAACTGTGTCGACGTTTTCGACATTATGGAAACCGCAGGAACTGCGTTAAAGACAGGCAGGTTTTGCTGCCGGCTGCCTGGGTGCCTTCCGTGCCGAGTTCGGTTCTGTTTTCCGATGCCGAGTGCAACCGGCGTTCAACGTGGTTCTGTATGTGTGCGTGTCAGCAACATAGCTGCAACATCGTGATGGCAGTGTTGGGGGTTGTGAACAGAAGACTGGAATTATCGCCGCGATGTGACCGTGTGTTCGCGTGTCAGTGGTGTAACAACAAGATGAGATGGCGTAAATTGTCGGGCATTGATGCCGCTGGTCGGGCCGTGATCGGCGGGGGCGGGGTGTCGCAGGTTAACATTTCGCTTTACATTAAAAAAGTTTAATACCGCTTGAGGGGTTACGTGCAATCCATCAACGTGCGGATAGTCATGTTGGAACGCTGGTCTGAACAGTATAAGCTCCTATCGTACAGTGGCCAATGTGACTGTCGGTTGTCTCGTCCCCGAGAGCGACTGCGCTCTGGGGCAAGGACAACAGTCGTGACGGAAAGTACGTATATTTACAGTGTGGAATTTTAGCATTAAAAATAATAGTAGGTAAAATAGAGAGAAAAAAAAAGCTACTCTTCATTTTTCTGTTTAAATGTACAACGGTTCCTTGAGAAACTGCCCTCCAAGTGGCGCGCTAGGATGAGCGCTAGTAGTTTTCGGGCTCGCCACGGCGTAGCTCCGTACACTTAACACACGCCGCAAGTCGCGGCTTTGACTACATTCAAGTTGATCGAAAAGCGATTTCTCAGCCCGTGAAGCATCAATTCCAACTGCGTGAATATCCGCACTACAGATATTAATTCAAGACGGCAATTGCAGCTTTGCGCGAACAGCACAAATAGAAAAACAAACACAACAATAGAAATACAGGCTACGACGTGCTGTGCGGGGAATCAAACTCATGGCTTCGAACCGCATTGGAGCGGCTTGATTTATTGGCTTTCAAAAAATTACGGCATGATCGAGCGTTTGCTTTTTGATGAGAGATTCATCCTCTGAGCCATTCAAAATACTCTCACAGGTATGACATTGCTGGGAAAAAATCAACATGCTGGGAATATTTTTTATTGCTTATTCAGTCACCGAAAAATTTCGTCAGTTCAAAACGACCAGTATAAAAGACGGAAACGCAGATCACTTTAGTGTTCGGGTTAGTGTGGTGTTCCGTTGTATTGATATTTGTGTGTGCCGTGTATGTGCTCAATGTATGTTTACCTGATGCTGCTTATAAGCGTAACGTGTGTATAGTAGAGGATCCCCAAGCGCAGGAGAGGCGTGAGGAAATCAAATTATTTAGAACATAAATTGGGCGGTACCTAGCGCCACCTAGCCTAGCTACTTGCAATTACTCTGCTTGACCCCGCCATCTGGTGTCTAGCGATGTAACATTCTTTCATGCTACGCGATGAACAGCGGCTTCGAGTTTGCTCTTTCGAGAGCGGCTTTTGGTTTCGCGGATTGAGTTTGCCCTTCTCCGTGATGTGCAGTTGACGAAGGAATTGTGACTCGAGGAACACCAAAGGTAAGACGCAAAGTGCGCGAAATGACTGGGTATCGGTTGTCTCCGTTTAACATCGCAGTGCTGTCGACGAGACGACTGAGTAACTGCTTTCGAAACGCAAGTTTCTGTATCTGTGGGGGGAATGTGGCTTCGGAAATAAACACAGTTCGCGGAAAGCTCGTGTTACGCTTTTATTTGCTGCTCCTCTCGTCCCGTACAAGAGACGTAGCGTCCTCGTCAAGCCTTATTGGGCTCGATTCGCTCGATTTGGGGCCGCCATAATAAGATGCAGGCGACGGAGGAACTAGTTGCTCCCCTGCTTCAGGGACGAAAGTTTCTCCCTTTCTAAAGGAACATAGGGAAGGAACGGATAGACCGTTCCTTCCCTAAGGAAGGACTATCCATACCCGTTTTTCTAAGAGTGCCCTGCAAGGGCGTGACGTCAAAGTCGCGTGTTGGTGTAGACTATAACGTGTCTGAAAAAACAACAATATGGAATACGCTGCTGTATTTTTGAGAATGTGACCTAAATCTTTACTAGGGAAGAATAAGAATGTGACCTAAATCTTTATTTGGGAAGAATAAGTACTCGCTTACCTGTGGGAGACAAGACTATTAAGGGGGACGCCTGTTGAGATTGACCTTGCATTCCTGTGCGGACGACGACCGAGCGAACGTCGAGACGGTTCGATTGCGATCAGAACCCTTTTCACCGAGCAACCCTAGTTTGTTAAAGTTCACATCACGACCAAGAACTGTTATCGCTAGGCTTAATGTGACGATGCACGAAAAAAGTGGATTACTGTATCCGCACTAGAAGGACCGTAAGGGCAAGATCTTAGATCATTTGTATACCTGCTAAGTATCGAGCTGACATCCTGAGCCTTTGCCTCGGAAACTGCTGGTCCGGTCACGTATAGGGTAAACGAAACGAAGAAGAAGCTGCTAGGGAAATACTACAGGCCTGGGTGCCTCAAAGACGTGGAGCGCTACGTGAAGTCAACCCACGCATTCCAGCGTGTGTGTAATCTGAGTGAAAAATGGAAAGCCCTGTTTAAACTTGTCCCACTGATCTCGAAGCCTTTCCGTAGACTTGTCATCGACACGGTGGGCGCGCTGCCCAAAACAAAGTCAGGATATAGGTTCCTGCTCGCCATTGTCTGCTTTGCAGCTAAATACCCGGAAGCAATTCCCTTGAGGGAACTGAGCTCGCCTGGAATGGATGACGCGCTTTTCAATGTGTTTGCGCGAAGTGAATTTCCAACGGAAATTTAGGCTGACCAGCGAACAGTTTTTACAAGCGCACTAACAACCACGCTCTCGCAAAGGTGTGGAGGGAGATTGGTACACAGCTCAGTGTATCACCCTCACTCCAACAGCCTGGGAAATGGGCACTCTGTGCTCTAGAGTATTACGCGCGTTATGTTACGAGCACAAAGAAGACTGGGAGATGTCTTGCAGCGACGTTGTTCGGCTATGTCCTCATGTGCAGTCACGTGCACAGGTTATGTGCAGAGGTCACGTGCCGGTCACGTGACCTGACGTCCTCTAAAGACGTCACGTCTTGACAGGTCGACTACAAGGACGACGTCTAGGACGACGTCGAGGGCGACGTCCTAGAGGACGGCTCCAGAGACGACATAATTAACGGCCTCTAAGACGACCTCTAGGGCGATATCAAGGATCAACTCTAGGACGACCTTTAGAAAGTCCTTGAGGGCGGCGTGAAGGACGACGTCCTTGAAGACGATGTCAAAGATGACGTCTAGGACAACCTCTAAGACGACCTCTAGGGTGATCTCAAGGACGACCTCAAGGACGACCTCTAGGATGACGTCTAGGACGACGTCTTAGTGAACGACGTCGAAGACTACGTCTCAGGACCTCTGCGACGACGTCGTCCTCGACGTCGAAGGCCGTCGTTCAAAGGTCGTCGTCGTTGACGTCGAAGGTCGTTCGAAGGTCGTCAGGTCCTTAGAAGAGGGTGCGAATGTGAAGGTGTGCGTACTGCCCCTCCGCATTCGTTCGGCGCAATCGGGTGCAAGCACATTGAGCTGAAATGGTCTACTGCGCATACCTACTGCGCATTAGGAGACCAGAATATACATACGTAGAATATCGCGCATCCACCCATACCACACTAAGCGCTCATGTCCAAATTTGTAAAATCTGAGAAAATATGCACAGTACATTGATACGTAAAGTTGATGACCGGAGAAGCGCCCATCCCCCATTTTTTGCGATTATCTCTAAATATTGAGTGGGCACTTGCCCGGTACTTTACGACTGCTGAAAATCTGTAGTAGTAGCTTAATAATGCCATCGCATTAAAAACACCGAAATGGTGGGGCTATCGTGAAATCCGCTAGAGCCACGTGTCGGTGGTTTGTTCGGTGCTGTTCCCAGTCGCTACCAGATCCCTTGCGTTCCTCTCTCTCCCCCCCCCCCCCCCCCTTCCCCGGACTCTCCCTTCCTTCTAACCCGTGGTGGCCGACTACAGCCACCCGGGGTTAGGACTGAACTGACGTATAGCTACAGTTGACGACAGCGCATGGCAATATTGTATGAGCTTCCTAACACCGAATATAATTCTGAGGAAGTCACACTTTTTAATCATGACAATGGGAAGTTGCGTCTGCACTGTACTAAGCACCAAGATGGCGTCGCCTATAACAATTTCGGGGAATAGAGTGTCGACACTCTAAGCGTAGCTCATTTAGTGGCTCTGGGCTGAACCATCGACCCCACCTGCTCCTCACTACGGCCCCAAGTGAGAGAGGAACGAAGCTCTGGACCGAGGACTCCAATTTTAATCATACAATTAAGTTATTCTTCTTGAATTCCTGGCGCTCAGAGTGACCACAAGTCCCATCTGAAAACGGCCTGTCTCCTTGGAATATTCCAAAGGAGCTCTAAAAGTATAGCATCTTTGACGTCATGGTGTAACATGACGCTACGAGACGTAACCATAGGACATGGCGTTGCAGTGTCAATCAGAAAAGCACGTAGTGAAGCGACTTTCAGTCCCGTGACCACATGACGTGAAGTTCCTGTTGGACATGATGTCATGGTGTCCCACGTGACGTCATGTGAACGTCAGGAAAGAGCGTAACCACGTGACCTCCGCGTGACGTCATAATGTTGCATGTCGTAACAGCGTCATATCACGTTACGGTGTCACCTGACGGCACAACGTTACGTGATGGCACAATGTTACGGTTTCGTGGGACGTTAGGTCACGTTACATTATAATGTCACGTGAGAACCGTCATGAATATGATGATCGTCACGTGAACCCATGACGTCACTGAGGCTACATCCCAGGTGCGGACACGAAAGCGCTAAGAGCTGGGGTTATAAATGCTATGTATTTAAAACGTGGTCGGTGCAGTCGTCGCCACTCAACCTTTTCTAAAGCTGCGGGGTATTCACCTTCGAGAATATCTGCGTATTGGCGTGTCCATTTGTCTCTATCAGGTTTACAACATTACGCCCCTGCACCGGGCGAGCCTTGGGGGTTGACGACCAACTTAACCATCTTGCCTGAGCACCTGAAGAACCTAGGATACTCCACTCACATGATTGGAAAGGTAAAGCTGTTCTAAACACCACCCTTTGTCTTCGCCTAATCATTCCTTATTTACTTGCAGTGGCATCTGGGTTACTACAAAGAAAGTTACACGCCGACCCGAAGAGGTTTCGATTCGTTCTATGGCTTCCTCGGCGGTGGCGAAGACTACTATGACCACACAGTATTCTGGGCAAGCACGTGCTTCAGAACGATGACGCCGTTAGTTAAGATGCTATGCGCGTTATACAGGGCCGGAAATAAAAATATGAGGCTCTGAGTTAAAGAGCATCTGCCCCCCCCCCCCCCCCCCCTTGCTACACAACTGTCTCCTTGTTATGCTTTCCTCGCTGCGTACGTGGCGTCCGAAATTTAATTATAGGGTCTTCTTATATAAAGAACGTTAGCATAAATTCCCCCTCGCCCCACCCACCCCTAAGTGCGCTGGCGTTATAGGAAGAAACAAAATAGATGCGCATTCTCGTGTGCGTTGTTGGCCGAAGTTTCAATACACTCTGGTTGAAACCAAAGTTAAAAATCGAGGGCTCAGTCCTCGGACTTCGATTTATGCAGGACACCTAGAGTCGTGCTTAAGCTCCTCTGCATGAAAGGCGGGGCGGGGCGTAAGCTTATTGGTGACTCCATCGAAATCGACAGCGCCTAGCGGTTAGTAGAGAAAGCTGTGGCGGCAGGTTCGCTCGCCAGCCTTTTAGAGCGAATCAGAAATTCAAGGTGCCTGGCGATGTAAAGACCAAGTCATGAAAGTAGCTTCGACGGCACGTCATTAAAATCGCCAATATAGGAGGTATCCATTGGCGGTCATAGCTGAGTCCGTGGCTGCTGAGCACGAACTGATGGTGAACTTCTACAGTGATTTTGCAATGCACATTCTAAGCAATAAAAACGTGAGCCCTAACAGCCTATAAATATGAGCTCCTTCTGAGCATGCCTGCGCTCCGTCTCCTTTTTTCCCTGCCCTGCCACCTTCCTCCCGGTGCGATCTGGTGCTGTGTGTATTTGTCTGTCTCCCGTGGCCCCACTTGTTCCAGCTATCTTGCTGAAAGTCCGCGTTGGCTGCTCATTTCCGGCATCGCCCTGGCTACCTCTTATATCACCCTGCTGGAGAAGACACCCCACGTCAGCGCTCGGCTATCCCACCAGTTGAGCGCCCATATCTGACTCTCGCTGCGTCTCAGCCCTTCCATTGCAATCTCTACTGCTTCTCGCTTCTCCCCTTGTGCCTTTCCCCTTGCCTCTACCTCCTCAATCCGCCCTTCCAACTGCCTTGATGCGCTCTTGCTTTTTTGCCATTAGGCTCTCCCTCAGCTCCCTGACCATAACCTCCAGCGCCGCCTGCATTCTCTTTCTTTCCGCAGTTCCTCCACCAGCTTCGCTACCCTCCTTCCCCATTTTTAGTTGAGAAATGTGGTTGGGGGGCTTAAACACGCCCTGCAAATGAACTCTGCCTCTTGTGCCGGCCCCACATTCGGAAACGAAGCTTCATCCAAATAGCACCACCTGCAACACACGTCGCAACGCATGTCCCCTTTGTCTTTCGCCTCGTCCTCTTTCTTCTTCGCGTTCATCTCGCCATCATTCACCCTATCTACAACGGGTATTATTAAGTGTACAGTCGTCTCCTTTTTTTTTCCTTAGCTCGCTCAAGATAACCGGCCGCACTGCCCTGCGTGGCAAGCTCCCCGTGTAGCCTCGCCACGAGTGGAGCTTGCTACGCAGGCTGTCAGGCAATGAAGCCGCAAAAACCAAAAACTAACCGGTCTTTGTCATCACAAACTATTTCCTGGTAGCGTTGAGACAAATCAAATCCTTTCTATTCCGGTCGTTACTAACTTCAGCGAAAGCGGTCAAACCATCGCGCCAAACGTTCAAACAAACCATGTCACGTAACCCCAAAAATCCAACTCCTAACGCTAAGCTTATAACCCAACCTAACTTCAAAAGCTGCCTTAACGCCCCTATCACTATTTAACACTATCTTCTTCTCTACCCCATGCACACTAAAACAAGGACAAAGAAAATATATAATTTCGCTGGAGCTTCGGAAAACTACGTCCGCTGTCGTCCGTCCTCCACACCTGGCCCGGATGGATCGATGCATGCTAACCAGAGCCGTAGAGTTTGGTCAATGGGAGGCGCGGGCAAAGACAGGGCATGCGGCAGACTCAGAAAGAGGGCTTGGCATTCTCTCTTGACCAACCAGAAGCCGAAAAGAATCCCCTAGCGGTTGTAGCCAGAAACAGTTCTGATCAAAGGTCTATGTTCGTATATGGTTTTAATAAGCGCGTAAGAGTGAAGTGAAGTAACTCTTTGTGGTTGAAAATAGGGTGCACGTGTTGTTTTGATCATGATCATGCAAAAAGATGTAAGAAACGAATGCGCCGCTCAACTCTGTTTTGCACGGACAGTGTGTGACCGCTCGGACGGCAGATTCCCGGCCCTCGGCGCTTGGCGTACGGATTATGTCGATCGTTCCGCTAGTCGCACTCTTCCACCATCATTTTGGATGAGCGTGATTGAACCATCACGTGTACCATATTTTCAGCCATCAAGAGTTACTCTAATGCAGTTATCAGGTTTGCTTCTCGCGACCACCGCCAGGGTATTATTTCCGGCTTCTGGTTGGTCACATTCAAATTTCTGAAGACGCCCTGGAACATGCCCAGCCCGCTTTCGGCCAATGGCGCCTCCTCATTCGTCTCCTATACTTCCCAACGAATGGCCAAACTCTCTACATATACGGCTCTGATGCTAACGGCTGTACCCTTTATACCGGGCGGTAGCTTGCGCCACCTTACCTTGAGGTTAATAACCAAAAGTATGATTTCTTTCCTACGCCAGTTTGCTTACCTTCTGCAGTTTCGTAACTATCACCCAACAATGATAGGTATCCAAGTTTCCATACTTAATTTCGGAAAGTGTCTATTGTCGAGTGTTAGTCTTGAATGTATTGTTAGTGTTTGTTTTCCTTTTAATAGTATATATCTCAATTCATCCCCAGGCCAACGCAAGCGGCCTGGACTTCTGGGAGGACACGACCCCAGTGAGAAATGAGGCGCACCATTATTCGACCGATTTATTCACCGAAAAAGCCCTGTCTCTTATCAAGGATCATGATCAAGCAAAGGTACTTGTACACAAATATGCCCAAACGCAGTTAATATCACTTTTATTTAATATTAAGCCAATCAGATTTTATAAATTAAGAGAAAGTATCTTAGTACCGGGTCTTTGAAAAAAGAGAACAGTGTTTTTTGGCCCGCATAAACAAACCACGAATTACAAAAACTCCGTTAGAATGTGGCGCTAGTGGTAGTGATATATATTGTGAAAGACTGAGAATGTGACGTTATATCAACATTGGAAGAACAAGGCGTTTTCTTGAGCCGACATCTAGATAACCCTATTATCGTCAGAAGCAGAAATGATAATTCTGCACGTATGTTTCATTTATATATATACCGCAGAATACCGGGCAAGCGCCTACTTAAACTTTAGAGGTAATCGCGAAAAAATAGGGGATGGGCGCTTGTCCGGTCATCAATTTTACGTATCAATGTACTGTGCATATTTTCTCAGATCTTACAAATTGGGGAGTAGGCGCTTAATGTGGAATGGATGGATGCGCGTCATTCTAGAGTGAGTATATATATATATATATATATATATATATATATATAAGGCCCTTGGCTGGGAAAAAAGAAAACATTGTTTCCTTCCTAGGTAACGTCTTTTTTTTCTCAATGGATTCAATGACACGCGCACATAGCGCAATTTGTGTAGAGTCTTTAGACAATATTAGGCTTCGGTTGACTTTTTTTTTCTTTTGGTCTAGGTAACATCATGTCGTCAAACTGATGTATTCTACCGCCACCGCTAAGCTAAGGTTTAGCCCGGTAACGGCTATGTTGGCGTGAAAAAGTACTTCTCTTTCAATGCCTAATATTGACGTTACATATCACGCCGATATTGATGTTACAAACGTCATGCCGGTATTGGGGACTTTTGTGACACCCATTAGGCGTTACAGATGGCTGATACAGTCACGCTTAAATTTACGTGGACAGACGTCACCCTTTAAAAAGGCTAGAATAGTCGAATCATGCTTTGAAAATTGGCGTAAAATTCAAAAAGAGCAAAGAAGATCGTTGCGCGTAATTGTTTTGCGAGAAGCACGTCGTCGCCTTATGCTGCCCAATTTGCTGAAGGCTGCCATTGACGGGAAATGCTTTCTCATCCGAAATGCAAACTGCAAAGGCGCAAAACACCCAGTACTGTTCAAACACATTATCCCCGCGTTTTTGTAGAAAGACGGCATCACAACATGGCAAGAACCTATGTGTGGAAATCGTCTATCCACTCAGTCAAACAAAGGAAGACAAAAAACATGCGTAAGAAACAAGTGCAATTTAGAGTTAAAATAAAGAGATTACTGCGCACGTTTAAAATTTTCAAGTTTTAATCCCATTCATTTTATTATGTAATCCCAAATTTTGTTTTAGAAGGTTAACTGATTTATGTAGAAAGCGATAATGTTTTGTGGAACTAACAGAGTTGGTGCAATAGACAGTGTGTTACGTGACAACAACAATGTGCATTAAATTTATGAGGCATGTAGGCGAACTTCCGATGAAGCCAGGTTGTCCCATTTAAAAACAACCGAGAGCTCACCTAAACATTTTAGCCGCCCGAGGCTTGGAAGGCGCCTATCCACAGTATAAATACGAAATATCTGTCGATGCGATGTTTCCAGATCCACTGGGGCCACATAGCTGTCTTTCGTGAATTATGTACAGCACTTCATGGTGCCGATGGCCGCCTACAACCCCTCGAATATCCGCTGATCTGAACATTAGCGCAAAACTCGCCGAGCGGCCGAAGACAAGTCGAAAACTTGATTGACAGAAGCGCTCATTCCTCCTGACGAGAAACCAGGTTCAAGAATCCGTCGAGCGGCTTCTCGGGAGCAAAGTCGTGGGCAAAACAAAACGTTACGACCGACCCATCGTCCTCAAATATGGACACTCTTCCACCTCTTTGAGTGTTGAAGTTGGGCTGGACCAGGGTGTAAGATAGACAGGTGGGGAGACGAGAGCCAAATGAGTGACCGCATTGTGTCCCCCTTGGTTTTCTCTTTTTCTGTGGCGCCATCTATGTGGAGCACCGCGAACTCTCACTCCGGTTGGGCGACAGATGGCGACCGGCTAAACTGATGGAGATGGTTTTTTGTGGATTTTTAATAAAAGACTGTCGTGCTCTCGGTTTATTTTGCGCAGTATCCCATAGAGTTCCACGCAAATCCGATTCCGATTTTTTTCCTCTCGCCGCAGCGCCATCTGTCGTAAGTCGGGGGTACCCGCAAGCAGACGAGTACACAATCCGGTCACGGCGCTGCGGTAGGCTTCTATGGGCCGTTTCCCCACCTGTCTACCTTACACCCTGGGCTGGACCCTCCCGACCTCTTCTCCCCGGCCTCCGGCGTGGCTCGACCTTCAAATTTTAAGGATATTATTTTTTTGTGCGTCCTGATTTGGGCCGCTATTTGTTTTATAGGCTTCGCCACTGTCAGCGTGAAAAACAAATTATAACGCCGATGGCGTTCGGAAATCTTATGTTGTAAAGCCTAAGTGGCTTTAAGAAACTTGAAAAGACTAGAGTGTCATGGCTATTTCAGGGTCACTTTTTTGCCGTGTCGAAATATAGCGTATGTCACGCGTAAGCCCTCTGTAGGAGTGTCTTCAGCCGTGACCGAACTACAAGCGTAGCGTCCCCCTCTCACGGAGTTCCAGCCTTTTACGACGGGTAGTTTAATTTAGGCAAAAAAAAAAACAATTATTATTACATATCTTTCGTGTTTTTTTTTTTTTTCTGGAAAACACCCAGCATATATACAAAATGTCCAAAACCAATTTACAGCTTTTTTTTTTTTTTTTTGCATCACAAAAATAAAGTTTGCTAGCCGAACGCTCATTCTTTGCACAAATGTGTGGCTAGAGGTCTGAAATGCCAAAGTTTCAAAACGACCCATGATTTTATGCAGAAGTTACGAGTTATTTTCTAAATATTTCAATGGCGCGCCACTGAGCCTTTTAACGTACAGCGCTGAAGTGGGGAGGAGGGGAGAAATACTAGCCCTAGAACGGGCCAATATTTTACATCAAAATTTTCAGAAAATCCCTGATGCTTTCTGAATGAGATAAAGGTTAGTTCTGAAACTTTGGCGTCCGGTTCGTACCGTTGTGCTCGATTCGGGCTGAGAGTGAACGTCCGGCAATTCATAAATTATATTTTCAATTAAAGAAAAACATTTTTTTTGGGGGGGGGGGGAGAGGGGGGGGGGAGGGGGATACGCTGTACCTTTTACAGCGCAGCTCTTGGGCGCCCGTTTCCGGGTGAGCGGCGTCGCCGTTGGCGTCGGCGTCGAAGTAACCGCGCGCGTTGCATTAGAAAAAATTTTCCCGATAAGCTTAACGGAAAAATTTGTCCGCTAAATTTAGCAAGTGAACTTTCCCCTACATTTAGCGGAAAACTTTCCTTGCTAAATTTCGCGGGGAACTTTTTTCGCTAAATTTAGCGGTTGAATTTTTGCGGTAAACATAGCGGAAAAATTTCTCCGCTAAACTTAGTGGGGAAATTTTCCCGCTAAATCTAGCGGGAAATTTTTTCCTTTAGATTCAGCGGGTAAATCTTTCCGCCAAATTTAGCGAAACATTTTTACGCTAAATTTAGCGGAACAATTTTCCCGCTAAATTTAGCGGAGAAATTGACGTCCCGTGACCTCAACACCAATTCAGCTTTCCCGCTAAACAAAAGTTTCGCTAAATTTCTCTGCTAAATTTAGCGGGGAAATGGACGTCAAATGCTTTCAAGACCTATTCACTTTCCCAGCGAAATTTGGCGGAAATAGTTTCGCTACATTTCTCCGCTAGATTTAGCAGAGAAAGTTTCGCTAAATTTAGCGGGGAATTTAGCAAAAATTTCCCTCAAAAGGGGAAGGCAGCAGGAGAGGAGGTGGGGCATGCCCTCCCCTCCGTACCCTTTCCTCCTCCTCCTCAGGAGCTGCGCTCTAATTCGGCATTGCGGAGAATCGTAGACGTCTTTATTTTTTAACAATATTGCTTTCAAATTAGTCTCAGTAACATGTGCACACCTTTGTCCAACCACAGCCAATGTTCCTGTACTTCAGTCATCAGGCAGTTCACTGTGGAGACTACAAGGTTAAACTAGAAGCACCTGCCTCGGCTGTCGCACATTTTCCCTACATTAAGAGCCAGAACAGATCAATACATGCAGGTAAATTTTAAATCACTTCTAGATATGTCTACACGTATAAATCTGTTTAGGCACTAAATGATCGCGTGGGCCGCTGGTGAGATCTTCGTTTAAAGGAAGCTCTGTAATGCTTTAAGGTTCTTCCTCTTACGGGAAAGAAAGCAACAACGATCCTTAAAGACTTTTTCAGCTCCTCTAACTGCAACGCCTATACTTAGCTGAGTGAAAGTGACTCGCACTTTAATATAAACGCAGATATTAAAACAAAATGGAAGCATGTAACCTTCAGTTGATCTACTACGCATATATATTAATAAACTTTATTACTTGCAGTATTATTGCAAGTAATTATGCAGAAATATATCCAAACGAAGACTAAGCAATGATGCAAATAATCAGACTTGTCATATTGAAGACTAAACAATAAAACTTTATTACTTGCAGTACTATTGCAAGTGATCATGCAGATATATATCCAAACCAAGACTAGGCAATGATACAACTAATCAAGCTAAAATATGCCAAACCGTAAACAAACCGCAAAAACTATTGGCAGACGGTAAAGCTCCCAACACAAACTTACCACTCACGGCGTTTCAGCGTGTTTAAATATCATATAAGGTGACCTGTGTTTTTCCTTACGTTATCCATTATATAAAGTATCTTTCAGACAATACCTCTGCATGTTGCCCGAATAGCAGATAATTTGCATTGAATAGAAACCATCCTCAAATAGACATTTTTTTAAGTGCGCACAATGATGTAGCTGCTGCGCCATTTACCCGAGCCCCCATGGCTTTGGGTATATACTCTGAACATGCATTGGACACGAGGGTGACGTCATCGTTCGGCGAGAACTCGGATCCAATCACCAAGAAGTGGCAACAGCCAGCGTTGCTTGATGATTTTTTGCAAAGCGTCCATTATACACGCGAGCTTGCCGTAGGTTCAACCCCTGACATTGACAGAAAGAACTCCTTTTGTAAGATAAAAGTACAGGGTATGATTTTTATAAAATAAAATTTTAAAATAAGCCGTGAAAGCTACACAAATTTTGTCTCTGTGAGTTATACGGCCCGACGGATATTATGTTCAAGAGATAACGGAACTAAAATATGGCTGACTAACAAAAATTTACTAATTACTTTTTTTAATTATATGTGTTTGGACACATGTTCATATTGAAGAGATGAAGGTAATCAATGTTGAAAATCAGCCCTCTATTGTTTTGTTTTCTTATCCTGGATGGAGCATGCAGCTCGAGTTCTTAATTGTCAAATTTTGTTTCGGAAATCTGCCGATGCGGATACCAAGCGTATGATCCCCGCCTGAAGGACAGGCCTCGTTTGATGTCGAAGCCGGAGGGTTAGGTATTAGTGACAAAACTTGCGTCACTTTTGCGTCACAGCGCGCCGGAGCTGATGGCGATCTGTGTTACGTTACTGGCGAACTAGATTTATGTGCTACCTTAGGGGCTGCGACAAGTTGCTTTGCTTTGTTACGCGATGCCACCGCAAAAAGAACAGTATCTATCTGAGACGCAGGGGAATAATTTAAAAGTGACACGTTTATCAGTCCGTGAATGTGACGCATCAGTATTGTTTGTATGAATAGTTAATTTATGCGCACGGAAAGCATACAATTCCAGATGTAATTCGAACCTTTTATGAACGTGGCAGAGTCGTGAACTGTGCTGTTCAGAAGAAAGGCGGCTCTTTGGCTTCGAGCTAGCTTTTGCTGGGAGGTCTTCGACGCTCAGGAGCTATTGCAAGCCCAGCTGTTTTGTCTTTAGTGTACCATAGAACGGTTCTGCAATGGCTTCCCCAGTGGGCTTCAGGCACTTAGTCACAGAAAGAAAGCGATCCCGGCATGCGCAGAGTTGCACGGCGAATTCCCGACTGCCCACACGGATGTACGCTGCTGACTTCCCGGATCGCCTGGTTCCCGGACATGCCAAGTTGGCGAGCGTATTCACAAAGTTTCGGCCAAACAGGTTCTGTATTAACAGAAGGCGCAGAAAGTTCGTTATCGTATGTCAAAATTATATAATGGACGTCCTTGCTTACGTGAAAGTCCACCGCAAGCCAGCACCCGAAATTAAGGATGAGTGTGGAAGCAGCGCCACTTTCGTCTGGAATGTACTACGGAAGAATACCCTGCATCCGTACCATGTGCGTCTACACCAGAACCTCACTGAAGAAGACCTTGCAAAACGGCGTAAGTTCTGCCACTGGGTCCTAATTAAAGCGAATCTGGTCAGGGACTTTTTCAACAAAGTAATTTGGGCCGAAGATGCAAAATCCTCTCTAGACGGAACTGTAAACTTTCACAATGTGGATTACTGGAAAGACCAGAAGCCCCATTGGTTACGAGAGCACAACCACCAGGTTCGCTGTGTCAACGTTTCTGTGTAGCATCCTCGACAGCAAGGTTATGGGACCTTACTTTCTTGTAGGCAACTTTTGATTCGTGGATAACTTTGCCTGCAACGTTCCAGTGCAAGATCGTGCCGAGACGTGGTCTCAGCACCATAAAGCATCACCGGAGTTTTCGTCTGGCGCTAGAAGCTGACTTGAGAACAACTTTCCAGATCGGTGTATCGGACGAGCCGGACCAATAATTTGGCCTCCCAGATCGCCCGATTTCGCGGAAGTGGACTTTTTTCTTTGGGGTCACATAAATGCGTGACCGAAAATAGGGATATTATTGACTTTGAGCTAAGAATCCTCGAGGCTTGCGCAAGCGTTAGTCCCGAAATAATAGAGCGACCTGTGGGCTCAATGGAAGAGAATTTAGTGGATTGCATTGGCAGCTGAAGAAAAGCACTTCGAGGATTTTTTTTTTTTTTTTACATTCCTATTCAGACAGACGCGATTTATTTTTGTTGCTAAAATGTGACTATTAATGTAAAAAAACTTTTACCAAAAAATAATAGAGAGCCCGACGTTTCAAGGCCAGTTCGGCGCCCCTTGTTCACGGGTGTCTGTTTTCGTTCCTGTCGTCGTCTTGCCAATTGCCCGGTGTTGTTGACTTCCTTAAAGCGGCCTTTCGGTGGATGTCCACCGAAAGATTTACGTTAATAGGCGACTGAAAAAAAAAACAGTCCTGCGGCGACAGATTTTATTCCTAATGTTTTCTCTCAGCCATGAAAAGCCATTAGGCGTCAACATAAATGTCTAGAATCTTACGGTTGGACCACAGTGAAACAGGCAAATAGCACGACAGAGCCTAACGTGTTTTAAATAGTTTACGTTATCATCGGCAGTGATAGAGTATTAAGAAAACACTGGACGTATAACAGCGTTCCTGACATTTTTACGATAACTGTTTGCTGCGATTGAGACCAGAATGCAATTAGAAACATGTTTAACTAGAACGCTACTAGGTGTGCAACCGAAACACCTCCTTGCAACTTGGAGTGGGCTACAAGAAGGTAGACATGCTGTTTCGGCCGTCGACTCTGGATGTTTGAGTGCCGTGATATGGGAACGTCTAACTCAACACTTTTTCACCCATTTTTTTTTTTTGCTTCTTTTTACGGCTTTTTTTTTTTTTCTGCCATGGTTTCTGCTTCTCGTTGTAGAGAACCATCCACTACGCAGCACTAGGTGATTGAACTCACCGACTTAGCATTCACCTTTTCGTTAGCCACTCTACGCGCTTTTTCTTCTTTTTGGCCGGATAATGTTTGTCGCCTTTTCCTGCTGCAAATCCCGTCGATGCATTCAATTTTAGTGAGTATAGTTTACGTTCAGGTTTTTTTTTTTTTTTTTTTTTAATTTGACGGTTCCCCGTGCTTAAAACATTATTAAGAGATACCGCGCAGCAATTAGAGCAATGCAACTTGTCGCGGCCGCTAACGTGGCTTATCGCGTAAACTAAGGAAACATCGACTGCAATAAGCTCGGACGCGCTGTGGCTGAAAAGTCACGCAAATTTCGTAATTAACACGTGATCCTCCGGCGTCAAACGAGGATTTTCCTTTCGGCAGGCATCGCGGGTTCGGTTTCTCAACAAATTTCCAAAACAAAATTTGACAATAAATAATTGAAATTACGTGCTCGAACCAGTTTTTTTTTCTTTTTTTTTTAGGAACTGGGCTGGTTTTTAACATTGATTGCCTCCATTCCTTCAATATAAACATTTGCCCTAATACGTCTAATTAAATAGCGATTAGTGAATTTTTCTTAATTAGTCATCTGTTAGTTGCATTTTCTCTTAAACATGATGTCCGTCTGGCAATACAACTCACATTCGCAGACCACATACGTCTAGCGTTCACGTTTATTTTCTAATCTGCATTCAATAAAAAAAGAAAACGCCCTGTATATGCGAATTCTATTGCGCTAAGTCTGAACGTCTTTCATATGATGACGGAGGTGATCCTCATGATAATATGGGAAGCACTTCTACAGTCATTCCTTGTGGATATGAACAATTAATCCACGTTCATTGTCAGGCGCAGTGTACGAGCTGGATAAATCCGTTGGACTGGTCATGGAAGCGATGAACAAGAAGGGCATGCTGAAGAACAGCATCATCGTCTTCAGCACGGATAATGGAGGTCTTCCGTGGGGCAAGGAGCCCAACAGCGGCTACAACTGGCCTCTGAGGGGCGCCAAGTTCACGCTCTGGGAAGGGGGCGTCAGAGGAGCCGCCTTCGTCTGGAGTCCTCTGCTGTCCAAGTCTGGACGTCTGTCCAACCAGTTGATGCACATCACCGACTGGTTGCCAACTCTCTATTCAGCAGCCGGTGAGATGAAACATACATTTCTTTTTTCTCTTTTTTTTTTGTGCTACATTAAAGCTCTGTTGTCCCGTGATAGGGGATTCCCGAAATTTGTCGTTAATTGTTTATACAGTAGGAGTTTAACCTGCCAGAGTAAGACCGAATCGTTACCCACTATAGGTGACAAATTTAGCCCGTACACTACAACTGCTACCATGAGGTCATTAACGTACATCATGTAGTAATGACAGAGGACTGCACACCGCGATACGATGCTTATCCAGATCCAAACTGGCAGGGCTGAGGATTGAACCCAAGATCTCCGGGTTCTGCAGTGCGAGCTTTCGCCCCAGGTGCTCCGAGGGGCGGTGCACTAACAAGCTCGGCCAAGGATCCCCTGGAAATTCGCCATGCCGCTTTTTTTAGCTGAGGATAACACAGCAGACATTAAGTAGGAGCAGGACGAATTACAAATATGAAAGGAGGTTTGCTTCATGGTTTAAGCCGACGATAGATGCCCGAGCTTCTGCTCAGGAAAGCCTGAAGAGTCCTTAAGCCTATACGATAGATGCCAAGCTTCTGCTCAGGAAAGCCTGAGGATCGAGTCCCGTTTTCTATGGTTTATACGTACACCGCGTGAAATGTGTTTTCATCTGATCTCTTGTAGTGCGTCCGTGTTTGGAAACTATGCAAACTGACTTTGTAGTAGTGATGGACCGAATCTGCCGAACTTCAGATTCGGCAAAGTTCAGCAAATGCCGAACTTGTGAAGAAATGTTCGGCAAAGTTTCGGCAAAAATTCGACAAATGTCTGCGCACGCGCGAGAATGCGACGGGGCCGTGGATTGCAAATGGACGCCGTGCAGTCGTGCGGTTACCATCGTGCAGTGCAGTACAACCAGCGGTTACGGCAAGGTGTGGAGTATGCAACACGGTAACTATGCGTTTGTAAGCGAGGGTGGTTGTCTTCAATATGTTCTGCCTTGAGAACAGAAGATTGACCAGTAATTTACGCAGTCCACTGCGCCAGTGACGAATGATGCGGTACATTCTGGATAACGTCATTTTCATTGGACATTTACAGTGATGCAACGAGGTAGTTGAAACATTGACCGACAATGAGTTCAAAGCACTCCTCGCAGTCATAACAATTTTGTTTTCGCCTCAGAAATAGTGTGTGTCAAAACAAAATATTATTAAATATTCCCATGTATGTGCACATCTGATATTTCAAACTCTTCCTATCTTCCTAAACGTTCATGTGGGGCTAACATTAAAAACTGGTATTTTAAAGGTCAAAAACGAGGCGTTGCGAATATGGGACGCACACTTTCATGCAAAGCTGACGTCAAGTGACTCAAATAAAAAAAAGCATGCATATTTACAATAATATTATTATCTCTTCTGGTGAAGGCTCAGCTACCGTTGCATTCGCTTTCGCGCACAAAACGGTGACTTCCAGAGAAAGCAAGAACGCAGCGTTATTGCCTTTATTGTAACAATGTACAAACACATGCAGCTTAAAACCGAAACTCTCGTAGCGTGATTCGTGACTGCGCCACGCTCGCTTCTACCCAACCTCGTTGTCACGCCACTTCTGCAAGGAGTTACTAAAATTGCCAGTAAACACACAAAAACGACACCGATACAATTATCTTGTAGAATATCACCTTATTCAGTAATAAGTGTGTCAATGTGCAATTCATGTTGAATTTAAGTTAAGCAAAAAATCCTAAAACCGTTTTTCACCGGAAAAAACTAAATATCAACGTTAAACCTGGTAACAATGTATTTTTGCCGAATCTTTAAAAAAGTTCGGCAAAAGTTCGCTTTGCCGAATCCCAAGATCCGGCGCCGAACTTTCGATTCGGCAAAAGTTCGGACCATCACTACTTCGTAGTGTGGAAACATGTTGTTTCGACGGCAAAGTGTTACTTCCTGTTCTCATGGGGTCGGATCGGGTTGTATATAAAGCCTGTCGGTAAGTGCCTCTGCATTACTTACAACGGTGTGTCGGCAATGCTTCGCTACAGACCACCTCGAAATGCAATAACATTGATGTCTTTTATAAATACTATAGTCTGCTGATTAAGATGCGACGAACCCTATTCGCGACTCCAACTGTCTATAGGTGGCGCCACTTGTTTTCCAAAATGGTGGTTATAGGTCGAGTGGGAAATGCGTGCTGATATTCCAGTTGCTGAGCCTTTCTGGTAAGCTTCACTGAGCGTCATAAATTATTCCCGTTTATACGAGGATGCCGGAGTATTATGCGCGCCGGTCACCTCTTTCTTCTGAAAACAAAAACGATGGTTAGCGTAATATTTACGTTAGGAGGCACGTTTTATTTCCTGAAGGAAAACGAATATAAATTATATTTTGGATTTAATTACTCGATACAGGTGTTAATTTTGGTTTCTCTCTTAAATCAAGTTGTGTCCCACAGTGTATTATCTAGCTAAAAAATTGGTCCCGGAAACTTTGTTTTGTGACATACGTGTCAGATGCATGTATTTAATAATATTGGGAAAAGTTCAGTGTCTTTTTGAAGACAGCTTTTTTTTTTTTTTTACACATTACCTAGAATATTGTACTTATTGAAAAAATCGGCCATGATATTTGTGTTCTTTCTGATTTTTCTCGCTCAGATAATTGACATGTGAAATAATTAACTGCGGGCCCTTTAATGTGTTTTGGGGCATTTAGATTAGTAACTGATTTAGCATTATTATCAGCACAACAGAATGAAATCAAATTTCACAAATACATCGCCACGAGAGACAGGAATTAAAATATCTTCACAAAATATATAAATTAAAAAACGCAATTACCACTACGAAGGAAAAAAACGGAATCCGAGTCAAACAGCAGAAGTATGCGTGTTTTTTAAGGCAACGCTTAACACATAGGACTTTATATTACATCCAGTGTCTACGCCTATCTTGAAAATGATGTCAGAGTTTTTTTTATATCCTAAAAAGAAAAGAAAATGAGACCTTTATGTAAAGTCTATTACGAATAAATGGCGTACTTTTGTTATTGTAGCATTTATTGGGAGCCTGCACTACCGGAAGTTGTATTAATAATAATGCAATTAAGATATTTAATACGTTGTTTTTTAAGCTCTAATGTGTGTTGCTTATAATCTAATTTCAAGCGCGCGAACAGCTTTGGCAGTTCAAATTTAGAAAAATATCATCGCTAGAGCCTGTTGCAGCCTATTTAAAACACAACTTATAAAATAGAAAGTCTAAAATCAATGAAAACATTCTAGCTAGTTTGAGAAGCAAAACTTCCGAATTCGTGGCCATTAATTTGGAACTAAATGCTCCAAAAAACAAAGAAAAAAATTCAGTTTTTATTTTTGATTACAAAATATTTTATAACATTTATTTGCATTAATTTTTACACGCCATCGTTTTGCCAATCTTAGCCTTTCCAATTCGAAGGAACGCCTACCCGCTTACACGTCTGCTCACTACAGCACGTTTCGTTTCTTTGTACACGCACTACTAAAACTCTCTAGTTATGTACAGCCCCATACGTGCTGCAGCACTACAATGAGGAAGTAAAGAGTGTTCCTTGCATTCAGAGATGACTGTTGGCGAGCCATGATCGCAAGCAGTTCCGCCGTACCCGCTGAGCACGAGAAGTGGGGGACCCTCACTCGAGCGTTTCCCGTTTCCGCCGCGGGAGGGCGAGCAAAGAGCTGGGGACGCGAATAGCGATCAAATGTCCGCACAATGTTCATTTCACAGCAAAGCAGGCCCACCTCGCGTCACTGTCCCTAGTCAAACCCCGCTTTCTCTCCCCCGGTTTCTCCTTTTGGCGACCAGCGCAGTCATGCTCACCGCGTCGCCGCTTCAGATCAGCTATTCCCGTTTCAGCCCGCCCGTTCATGCTAGGCATTCTGAAAACTGCGGCCCATCCAGTGAGAGCCTCAACCCGCAACCGGCCCATGCGCGCGATAAGGAGAAGAGGACGGCACATGTACTTTATTCTCCCGCACGTGCGCATGCATTTCGATCTGACGGCCGTAATCTTTGAATTCGGTGGTTTAAAGTAAGGCTACCGCACTCAATACGCATAGCTTGGGGTTCCGAGGTACAACATGCGGGGGGACGAGCGTGGGGACGGTGACTGCGCATTACGTATTCACCGCATTCGGTGGGAGTTGGTACCACGAGGGCGCCACAGTATTTGGTGCCCCAGTAGACTTCCGGTAGTGTATTTATTTCTTCTTCAGTAACACACAGCGATCGGAAAATAAGATTTTCCTTCGGAGAGGTACCTTTAATAGGTTTGTAAGAACCTACGCGGTTTGTAGAACGTAGTACAAATAACAAAAGGATGTGTGACAAGAGGAAAAGAAGAGAAAAACCGGAAGCGCGCAGGGGTCCGCCGATAGTGGGCGGCAGCGAGCTTGTTTGCAAACAAATATTGGTGAATAAGCATTAGTGCTGCCGTTAGGATCGTCTGGTGATATCATGCCTCGACGTTCCTCCCGTGAATAAGCTCATTATAACTGCTCCGTCCGAGTGATCATAACTTGCTTATCTGTTATAGGTTGGGTTCCGTACCTTGTCAGCGATAAACCCCGATAGGCACCTCGGTAGCTCCGAGGAAAAACGCCGGCCTACGGCTCCCAGGTGGCGGGTTTGAATCCCGGCCGAGGTCCCCGAAATCTGACTGAGGCTTTTTGCGTATAATAAGGCGCCTTTTAACTGATATTTCGACTGCACGATGACGTATTCCCAGGTGGTCTAAATTATTACTACCCTCCACTGGGGCGTGCCAGACTTCTCTTTAATTTCGCACGTAAAACACTCAAATTTAAAAAACTTTTATATGCTCCGAAAATTTTGTTGAGCCTGTTTTACTCAAGTCGAGACGAACCGAAAAATCCAGGTTTTGAGGTGTCGAACTGAATAAGAAAAGACGATACTCCACGGGCAATCATATCTTTCTTCTGTTCACCGGGAACACAGCTCACCAACTCCTTCTTTTCGGAATTCTACTTCTTTCTGTCGTTACCTTTGCTAATGGGTACAAGGACATTATCCGAATATTCGGGCCACATATATTCATAACAAAGGGTTCCCTCAGCCTGAGTGCGATTAGTCCAGTAGGATAAGACTATCACGAGATAATTGGTTGGAAAATATAATCGATGGCGGATGTTAAGCTATTCTTGCTAATAATCTAATACAGGTTTCACTGAGTTAATTAACTTCTCGGTGGAGATCCTTTTCACAGTACATCCAGGAGATCGACCAAAAATATTATTCAGCATTATCAGACGACCTAACCGCTACATAACCAAAGTTGTCTGCAAATCTTGATTTATTCTTCATCGCATTCCAGGAGGAAACCTGTCAACGCTTAGCGAGATTGACGGCAAGGACACGTGGAAGGCCCTATCTGAAGACCTGGAATCTCCTCGGCAAGAGGTCCTCATTAACATTGATCCGACGGACAACATCTCGGCGCTGATTGTTGGGCGGCGTAAGATAGTTCTGGGATCGTACAACGAAGGAATGTACGACCTCCGCATGAAGGCCCCTGGAGGCTCTCGTACCGTGGATGGTCTTGACCAAATGATGCTATCGTCTCGAACCGGAAAAGTGCTCAAAGATTTCTACAACGTCCGTCAACTCACAGTTAGGCCTAACTGGCGCAACGAAACCGTCGTGAGATGCGACCAGTACGCCCCCCGCGACAACTTCGTAGCTGCCAGCCCTCCGTACTACTTTGACCTTGAACACGATCCTTGCGAGCTGAACAACTTGGCGGCTTCCAACATGACGGTAAGTGCGCAAACTAGAAATGTAGACCAGTCTCGCAATCGAAATACTTCCGTTGCAATCGAGGAACCGCACAAACTTTAAACACAACTTTTTACTCCCGAATCTCTCGGAGATGTGCGTCAAATATTCGCCGTTTTGGGCTCATCAGAAGCGGATTAGATAGTGGCTGAGGGTCTAAACGTAAGGATCAGGTGTCAAAGGCTACAAAATTCTCGGCCGCAAGTTGCGACAGCGTTGAGATACACTGTCAGACGCGCTTTGTGCGAACGACAAAGGGTAGCCCAGGGGTGAGGTGACAGCGCCCCCCGCGAATTGCGGCGGGAGGTGGCGACTTCCCCAATTGCAAAGGCCGTAAGAAGAGAAAGAGAGCGCGCGCTTCCAGTCCGGCCGTGGTTATACATCGCAATGCTACATACTACTTAGGTCAGTTAGGAATGGGGCAGTGGGGGTGGAAAGTGAATAATAAACTTCTCTTCACTTGAAGACGGTTAAAGATAAAGACGGTGTGCCGAAAAAAAGAAACGGAGATTAGAAGAGCATCAATAAGGTATTTTACCATTCTTGAGTTCCGTCGGCCTTGTAACAGAAAGATATGCCGAGTTTATGTTTACTCACATTATCTAATAAGCTTACCATTACATCTTTGGAGAGGGGGGGGGGGGGGGGGGGGCATCTGCGCATCAGTCATTGCCAATTCGAGGCATTAAAGCAACAAAGAGATGGTGCAAATTAAATAAAAAGTATGAAAGTGGACGACGTAAGACATAAGAAGATGGATTGTGAAAAGGCTGTTTTTACGGTAAAAAACGGAAATCTAAAAATAACATTTCTTTGTTTTAAATGAGCTCTTGTAGTAGATACTGCTACATATCTCGGAATGCGTCGTCCACAATTAAACCCACTTTCAGCAACCCACAACTTGTAGTGATAATTGGCTTCCAAAATTGACATCTGACTGACATAAAGCCACCATAAAAAATATCGATTTGTCAATGTGTCCTTTTTTAAATTCATGCCGCCTTCTCCTACTTCACGAGGTGCCGCCAAGCTTAATGGGTAGGGCTATCATCGCTTATTAAATATTTAAATTATTCTGTAGTACTATATAGAACAACGGTATAGGAGGAAATCTTATTTACAGCATGTTTCAATTCTCATAATATACTTCGTTTACTTCCATCAACGTTGATGGTTGGAGGTCGAGGAAAAAAGCTGTAAAAATGCCGCTTGACATTGCCTCGACCTCCTAGATAGGCTTAACAGCAGAGACGTAAAAACAGGTGTTCAGTACAGATACAGCAAGTCAAGAAGAACAAATACTTCGCGAAGTAATAAATGAAGAACAAAAAATACCTCCACTTTACCCATAAACATTTTGAAATATTCTTTAATTGTTTGAATGGTATTTAGGTAAATCCAACCTACTATCATCTATTTCGTTAAGTAATTTACGCAGCTTATATCCAATACTCTGAACGTTGTAATTTGTTCTCCACGCGAAGTACCTTATCTGATACTCTCGAACATAAGGAATGTTTTCATGAGCGAGGAATGCGACAAGACTTGGTATCTCACTCTACGTGACATGCCAATATAGTAAGTCTTGAAATGGTACTGCCATGACTCGAAACAAACAGTATTCCTTCAGTCAAAAACATGTTTTAAATATAAAACGATGTGGTTTTATTCTCCGCAGGAACTGAAGGAGCTCATCATGAAGATTGATGAGTATGCCAAGAGTATGGTGCCGCCTGCAAACAAACCGTTAGATCCCAGGGGACTGCCACGATACAACCACGGCTTGTGGGGCCCGTGGAAATGACAACTTTCAAAAGAACACCGAATAATTGCAATAGTATTAACGTTTGGAAACAAAACACTCGAAAATGTTATCTGTCAAAAAATAAAAAATAAAATACCTCAAATAGGAATAATAAACACACAGAGGACGTTCATAGACAACCGCAGTATTTTTATTGTCGGAGTTTTTATCCTACTAATTTAAGAAAAAAAGGTGGTCTTTAATTTTTTTTAATTTATAGTGCTAAAATTTATTATACTGATATTGTCAGTGGTGATTTCAAATCCGCATTTAGCTTTCAGATAGCTTTACCACATCGTGAGTTATCAATAAATTTGTAATTTTAATTAGGTCCTCCTTACAGGTCGTTAGCGTAAAAGTCTTCAGAATATAGGGTGGTCCAAGTAACCAGGCCCGTTCTAAAATGGGCCGTAAAAATCGACGCCTGCACGTAGCAATCTAAAATTTCCATCAAAGGTGTATATCACAGGTCGGTTTTTTCTTGTAAAATTACAAAGCGTAGTTCTCTTTCTGTAAAAAATAAGGCCAAGAAACTTGCCAGGGTCTACGGTGGGCAGCGACGCAGACGACAGGGTTTCAGTAGCGGGGTGTGTTTGGCGTTCGTATTGATAGATGGCGTCGGGAGCAGCGTCCGAAGGTGCAGCCGACCAGCGAAACAAAGCAGACGACACGCAGACGAAATCCGTTGGCAGCAAAAGCGCCGCCGTTATGCATCGCGTTTTTTTTTTTTTACTTCGAGTTTTGCTTTTATTGGCCGCATTTATTTATTAAATTTAATTACCGAAGATACATTTCAAAAAGGTTATGTTCATTTTAATAAACCACGGTGATCGCGAACCGTCGCGATAAGGAGGTAGCGCCGTCTATCAATACGAACGCCAAACACACCCCGCTACTGAACCCCTGTCGTCTGCGTCGCTGCCCGCCGCAGACCCTGGCAAGGTTTGTTCGCCTTATTTTTTACAAAAAAAAAGAGCTACGCTTTGTAATTTTACAACAAAAGAACTACCTGTGAAATACACCTTTGACGAAAAGTTTAGATTTCGATGTGCAGGCGTCGATTTTCACGGTCCATTTTAGATCGAGCCTGGTGACTTGGACCACCCTATATATCGGAATTTTTTATTAAATTGCATTCACCAAGACATACTTTGAGCGGTGATGCTATTTTTGCTGCTTTATATGTCATGCAATAATATTAATTAAATAGTCTAAGAAAACATAGCCTCCCGTTTGGTGCAACTTGATTGCAAATATCTTTTACCAATGTAATATCATTAAATCTGGGTTAAAATAGCATCACCGCACAAGACATGTTTTGGTGAATACAATGCTATAAAAAATGTTGATATAGTTTGAAAAAGTTTACGCTAACGACCCGTAAGGAGGACCTAATTGAATTTATAAATTTATTGATAACTCAGTATCTAGTAAAGCTATCTGAAAACGAATTTTATATTTGAAATCACTACTGAGAGATACATCAAAATACTAAAACGCGATAAATTAAAAAGTAAAAAAGTTAAAGACCAGCGTCTCACCATTTAAGTACTCATAATTAGAACCGGTCGCCTATAACAAGTAAAAATTGTTTTATTTTGTTGATTAAGCATATTTAATTTTAGGTCACACACTTTTACGACCGTATGCCTTAAAACTTTGGAAAATCTATACGCCTCGCAAGTGGGCTCATTTTCGTCTTCTGCGCACGAGAAAGGAAGTAGCGGTGACGTCAGAACGCCGAGCCCTGATTGGCTGACCGCGACCCCCTATCTGAGCGTCGTCTGCTCCTTTGCAACGTCGTCTGCTCGCAACGTCGTATGCGTCTGTCTCACCTTTCCTGCGAATTTCGGAAGTGCAGGTTCTTACGAGCGAGCTCGACTTCGTCTTTCAGAGAGGGCAGACGAAACAACTTGAGCGGTACGTTGTTTTTGTCTAACAACTAGCAGACGCGCATCAAGGAGGGAAGTCAAAGGTCTCACTGGCGAGGTGTCCCGAGGCGCCGATGTTTGTTTGCTAAGAACCGAGAGTGAGCGTCCACAAGTTCCCCCCCCCCCCCCCCCCCAAATACTTTTTCCCTTCATTTGTGTGCGGCGAGACTCCTCTCTTCAACGGCGTCGGCAGGTTGGCGCAGTTAACGTCGTCTGCTTTACGTCTGCTAGTCAAAGCGATGGCTGCTTTACCTTCATGCGTCTGTCGGAGATTCACCGATTTTTCACCGGCGAAAGTCACCGTTGCCTCGGGAAACAAGGAGATAACAAGAGGAAGAAATTGACCTCTTAATCTAAAATTGAGGTCAGCGATCAAAGTATAATACGGGAAGGGTTCACAAGGGTCGCGCGGGCATATTCCATTCAGCACGCCAGCCGGTTGTGGGCAAACGGTCGCCGAGTAGCGGAGTGCCTGCTAGGCCTAACTGCCGTGCTCGCTTGGTCGCGTTCGGTGAAATCGTGGCCGTTGGAGCTTTTCCCGGGTGTTTGTGGATCCATCGTTCTTGTTCGTCAAGGTCTGTTTCAAGTACTTTTTACTTTTTTCTTGCTGCTTGAAGTCGGGACGCGTGAGAAGCGCATGTAGAAAAATAAACGTCTGTGGGTCGTCGCGACCGCGACGCTGTCGGCCATGCTGCCGTAAGATTTCGTCGTAACCTGCGCAAAACTTACGAAAATTTCGTTTCGTGAATACGAATTTGTTTTTAAGTTTTGTCTTACGCACATTTTTGGCGTAAGGTCGTTTCGTGAATCTTGCCTCTGCACTTCCGAAAGTCGCAGGAAAGGTAAGAAAGACGCAGACGACGTTGCAAAGGAGCAGACGACGCTCAGATAGGGGGGTCGCGATCAGCCAATCAGGGCTCGGCGTTCTGACGTCACCGCTACCCCCTGCGCAAGAAGCAGACGAACTTGCCCTCCCCATTACGGCCAAAAAATACACTGGCGTCATCTATCGGGAAACCGTGAAACCCTGGGCATTTCCCTAAGTTTCCCTTTTTATGCGCATAATTCTTTCTTTTCTGGATTAACAATCTTTTGACAATGTTATAAGCGGCCGCCTCTTAAAAATAGTATGTACATTTGATCCCGTAAATACCACAAGAACTTCGCTCTAGTGAATTGTTTTTAAAAGGTTAAAACAGCGCAAACGACGAGGGACGCTTAGCAGAAGTACACATACACAGCGCTGTGTTTGCGTCCTTCTACTTCTCGTCCCTCGTCGTTTGCGCTGTTTTAACCTTTTAAAAGTGTCAAACTAACTTTCAAGCTTCAACCTCAGCTAGTGAAATGTAGTTTCAGGATCATCTCATAGATGGCGCCAGCGCGACAGTGTGCTCTCTCGTCGTAAGGGATCGCAAGGACTCGGTCGTAAGCAAACGTAAGTGTGCCAACGCGCCTTACGTCGTTTGAGAACGAGTATTAAAATATGGATATGCGATAGATGAGGAAGCTACCACGATGAACAAATGTGGACTTCGCAAAATGTCGCGTTACGTCTTTCTGGTTAAATACATTTTAAGCCCAAGTTCAAAAACGTGTCTTTGCAAACTATCTTCAAAACTTGTCTATTTTTTCTCATACAAAAAATAAAGTTGAAGGGCGTAGTTTAATGTATTCTCAGAGGAATAGATTTTTGATATTTAACGATGTTTATAATGATAATAAAGCATAAAATTATATTGGCAGCTGATAACGTATTCGGACTCTTTAATCTTATAAATCCAACTTAATTTTTAGCGCAATAACTCCGTAGGCACTTAAACGCCACCAATAGAACATGCGGCAATGATGCAACTAGGGCAGCGCTGCTGTAGTCCATTTAAATTGTCCGGCCAATTTTTTGGCCCTCTGGCTGATTTCTGACTTCGCCTGCAACTCAAAAACATTGTGATCCATTGAAGAACATTCTTTCTCCAGGTTTGCAGTCGAACACATTTGTGTACGCCTTGCTGATTTTCATAAACGTGTGCATTCTGAAAAGAAGACAAAGAAAATGACGCTGTAAAAAAAAAGGCGTGTCCTTCGTCCCCTTAATATGATCACATTTTAGAAGAATTTCATTCCTAAGGTTCAATGAAGAAGAAGATGGGGAATGAATTAGCGTAATTCTAATCATTCATTTTCCAAATAAAGATGTAACCCAGCTAGAATGTGAGAAATATCCTTTTTGAGTTATATCTTCTGCACAATCTAACGTATTAACAATGCGCTAACCAGAGACTGGATTAAAATCCTTTGAATCGTGCAATGGCAGAACATTTTAAGATTACGACACTTCGAATTCAGAGAAGGGTGTCAAGCAAATGTGATCTTGCTTCTACGCAAAAATGCACTGGAATTGGTGGCTATGAGCAACAAACCATGATCAGGAGCAGAAGTCTTCTAGAAAACTATCAATTAAAACACACACACGAAAAAAAACAATTTTGCTGCATACATTATTAATTTAAGGGACAGTCAGTTTGTGATATCTACTCGCATGTATCTTGCTAGTGAAGTGCGCGTCCAAAATATCGTTGTGGCAGGCCTTCCGCGATTGGCCAAGCGAGGGGCACTGTGAGACTGTCAACTTCGACGGGGTTGGTCTAAGGGTGCGATTGCTTCAAACATCCACCGTGCTTTTTACACGCACCACCAAACGTGTCGTCACAACTGATGATAAGCAGCCAGGATCGCAACTCGTGACGTCACGGCGGTGAAAATCCTGGTCGTGACATCAGTGATGGTTACAATGAGTGGACTCCACCGAAACGTCTCAGCGTAACACTTCCGGGTGACAACACTAACGGGGTAGCATTACTCTTTTTCGTTAGCCCACTTCTTTTTGGCGGCTGCTTTTGGCAGTACTTGAATGAACTCGTGTGTGAAAAGAGACGCCATCCCAACATTACCAGGTTTGCGTAAATATTTACTCTCAGTACGAATCAGGGTGTGTTAATCATACAAGCTCTAAAATTAGAAATTTGGCATTTAAAAATAACAGATGGTTTCGGGAAGATGTATTTATGAAGTCACCTTGCACGTGACTGTGTAACAGCTGTAGCGATTCCCTCGACAACACTAAACCAGGTGGTTCTTTGACCTGAACTAAACGATAGTTGACCTCATATACGACTGTAGATGTAAGTT